AATCAAGTCACGAGTTTTGATAATTTTATCAGAGATTCATACTTTGTACGATATCACTAAAATTAATTTATTACTTATTTAGATAGAAATAAATATACAGTAATACTGTATTATATATGTGTGAAGGTTTATAACAAAGTGGAATATAACAAAAAAAATTTAAAAAAAGTTTTTTAAATCAATTTTTGAGCACATTTAAAAGTTATTGATTGACATCTACTTACATAACTACTTTTCTGTTTAGATGATTAGTATTAAAGAACATTTTAATTGAACGGTTAATTAAAAATATTAATTAATTATACTGTACTTATTATAATATTAATTAAATGTTAAAATTATAAATTAAATATAAAATATTCTTAAAACATACATATATATTTTTTATTTACAGTCAAATATTTTATGTCTACGTTTAAATTGATCATTATAATTAATATAGGTAATACCAGGGTTAATTTCGATCACAATCTCCGAAAAATATATAAATAAGAGAATAAATGCATACATAAAATAAAGACATAACATCCTCAAGTAATCCAGTAGTAACAGGGACATTATTGTTCATTTTAAACACATTATAAAAACAATACTTTCCGTTGCGTTTGGTAATTAATCAAAAATAACCAAAAAATTTAATTAAAATAACATACCAATGGAATTAACATTAGAATCAGAGTTATATAATAATATAATTGTTACAGTATCATTTAATGTCACTATCATTTCCCTGATCAGAATCAGGAGGGACTCCGAATAGATATCATTAGAGTTTGAACTATTATATGGAGATTAAATGGCATCTAATTTTTCAATAAGTTTATTATCCAATTGATTGATTCTGGTCATTTATGCGAATTCTTGAAAGCTTTGGGAATATTCTTACAACAGATGGAGTTTATTAATAAAACTAAAAACAATGTTATTCATTTTTATTGAATTGAATTTTACGATAATTTAGTGTTACGTAAAATATTTTCGATAATGTAAATTACTTTTAAAATTACGATAAATTATGCACCATGCAACTTTACTTTTAACAAAGAACCAACAAAAATCAATTTGAATTAACAATTTCCAATCATTTGGTGTATATTTTTAGTCAATTGTTTTACTCAAGAATTTCCCTAAAAATAGGTCCAAAATACTGAATATACTCTTCGATGCCGTTTTGAATCTCGATTTGACTGACAAGTTGTAAATCAATCAATGCGTTCATAAGGTTAGACATCTTGGACTTCCACTGCCATTCCCACCGAAACCTCAACATTAGGTATCGCTGAAGTAAATGAATGTACATTTGCTGCTGATATCTTAACACAAAAACAACACAATACTAATTAATTATAAACTTCTATTTTTTTTGTCTCACTTAATGGCATCTCTGTTGACCAGATTTAAACGGTTTGGATTAAACAGTACGATAGCTGTCAGCTATTTATAATGAAAATCAGTATTAATAACTTTATTAATGATAAATCAATGGATTATATATAATACCAAATCGAGAATAACTGAATCCCAGTTCCATTTAATTTTTAATAAGTATTAAAAAGCTTAAAAATAATAACTTTTAACAAAGAACCAACAAAAATCAATTTGAATTAATTTAACAATTTTCCATTATTTGGTGTATATTTTTTAGTCAATTAATTGTTTTACTCAAGAATTTCCCTAAAAATGGGCCCAAAATACTGAATATACTCTTCGATGCCGTTTTGAATCTCGATTTGACTGACAAGTTGTAAATCAATCAATGCGTTCATAAGGTTAGACATCTTGGACTTCCACTGCCATTCCCATCGAAACCTCAACATTAGGTATCGCTGAAGTAAATGGATATACATTTGCTGCTGAAATCTTAACACAATAATAATAATTAATTATAAACTTTTAAACCCTAGTTTGTCTCACTTAACGGCATCCTTGTTGACCAGATTTAGACGATTTGGATTAAACAGTACGATAGCTGTCAACTATTTATAATGAAAACCAGTATTAATAACTATAGCAATGATAATTGAATGGATTATATATAATACCAGATCGAGAATAACTGAATCCCAGTTCCATTCGGGAAGTATTTTCCTGAAGTAAGACTTATAGGTATTGTAAAGATTTCTTTTCTCATTCCTCAGCAAATCTAATGGTATTACAAATGAGTTGCTGTTGTCCTACAAAATTAAGACACCATTTAAATACCAATAGATTACTAATATTACTAATAAATCATATTAGTTTAACAATTAGATAACCATTTTTTCGGCGTAAAGTCATAATAAAAATTCTGTATTTATTAAATAAATTATGAGATGGTTACCAGAAATATAGTCCACTTTTCAGCCTGACTGTCCCAACAATAGTTAGCCCTTAACAATATAATCTCCATACAGCCCTGTTTGATCAAGGTTAGCTTATCATCCTCGCATACGCCTATAAGCTTAGTCATGTCTTTGGTATATTTGACAATATTCTGTGCGTCCACTTCCAGTCTATTACCCCACATCTGATAGTAATGGGTGATATCCTTGGCCTCAAAGTGGTGTTCAGTGAACGGGTATCTGAAGAGATTTGAAGCGAGACACAAGTCGGACAGCCGTTTGCATTCAATCTCATTCCAGTCGTTATAGGTATTAATAGGTCTCATGAGTGGTGTGAATAAGTATAGCAAGAAATTCTGGTTCGCGTCCATAACCGAGTGATTCATGTGACTCGTAATGCACTGGTTTAGTGTCAGGATATCTTTTTGCACGTTTCTGTTCAGTTCAAACACTTTATCGCATTTGAATTGCGAGTCAAATCGCACGGAGTCTCGGGAGTCGCCACTACTGACCGACTCCTGTATCTTATTGTCATTATATTCCTCAGCAAATCTAATGGTATTACAAATGAGTTGCTGTTGTCCTACAAAATTAAGACACCATTTAAATACCAATAGATTACTAATATTACTAATAAATCATATTAGTTTAACAATTAGATAACCATTTTTACGGCATAAAGTCACAATAAAAGTTATGTATTTATTAAATAAATTATGAGATGATTACCATAAATATAGTCCACTTTTCAGACTGACTGTCCCAGCAATAAATAGCCCTTATCGCTATAATCTCCATACAGCCCTGTTTAATCAAGGTTAGTTTATCATCCTCGCAAATGTCCACAAGCTTAGTCACGTTTTTGGTATATTTGACAATATCCTGTACGTCCACTTCCAGCCTATTTCCCCACATCTTATAGTAATGCATGATATCCTTGGCCTCAAAGTGGTGTTCAGTGGACGGGTATCTGAAGAGATTGGAAGCCAGATACAGATCGGACAGTCGCTTGCATTCAATCTCATTCCAGTCATTATAGGTATTAATAGGTCTCATGAGTGGTGTGAATAAGTATAGCAAGAAATTCTGGTTCGCGTCCATAACCGAGTTATTCATGTGACTCGAGATGCACTGGTTTAATGTCAGGATATCTTTTTGCACGTTTCTGTTCAGTTCAAACACTTTATCGCATTTGAATTGCGGGTCAAATCGCACGGAGTCTCGGGAGTCGCCACTACTGACCGACTCCTGTATCTTATTGTCATTACTGTCCCGTCGGTCGGCTTTCTTTCGCTTGTTTTCTTCGATTGTAATTCTTCTCAATTCCTTCTGCTCTTTGTTTTGTATGAATTCCTTATGAAATACAATGTTTTAGACGATTATTGTGTAAAATTTAAACATTAATCAGTGTTACCTTTCTCATTCCAGCAGCAAGGCACTTTTCTAAGCGACATTTTTTGCACAGCTTACGGGTTTTCACTTCAATCACACATTTGCCTTCAAAATTACATTTCAATATCTGTTGCAAACAAATAGTTATTAATTAATTTTTTAAAATTTTCATTTTAATACCACATCTTTGACTGAGTTTCGCCTAAAGAAGGCTTTACAAGACTCGCAAGTAATTGCACCAAAATTTCTCCCTGAAACAAATTATTATTATTATTTTATAGTCAACTATACATAATTTTATACTAAAATTTATATTAATTTTTACAATTGATTTCATACCGACTGCGTTATCGCCACATATTTCGCACGATTTATCTAACCTCTTGTTCCTCATTATTATGCAAATTATTATTTAATATAATGAGGTTTTAATTTATTAATTATGCTTGTAATCAAATGTTTATATTTTTGTTTATATGATACTCAGCACACAATGTAGTTATATAATATAATCATTAACTGGAAGCCATTTATCGTAAACTATAAATACGTTAACTTTTTATATAAAATAAACTCTATTTATTAAACATTTTTTAATCAGATAATGAGCAATCCCAGTACATTCACAATAAAACTATAGATAATTTCACTGGTAACCAGTGATATTTTCATAATATTGAATGTCACTATTTCACGAACAATACCACTTAAAGTATATTGTAATCAAGTAATACATTTGTGCAAGAAATAACTAAATTCAAACATTTATCAAAATGCAATATCTTAAATATTTATATCTATGAATTTAGTTAGTATTGTTAAAAATTCATAATTTGCATCGTGTTTAAATATATTAAGAATAGTATTTGATACTTGTCTATATTGAAATATTCAGTTTATAATGTAATACATTTATAACACAAGTAATTAAAAAATATATTGATTATTAAACCTTGTTATCAAAAAAAGTGTATTATGATTAAAAAAAGTTCATTATTATTAATCATTCGTACCTAAAGTACCTATTATGTATGGTAGTTTTTGTTACACGTTACGTACCATTATACAACTACCTGTACTTGCGATGATGACATATTGAAATATAATTTCTTTTTAATAGGACCGAAATATTGCAAATAAATATCATTCAAGATTTCTAAATCCATTAATCAAGTCACGAGTTTTGATAATTTTATCAGAGATTCATACTTTGTACGATATCACTAAAATTAATTTATTACTTATTTAGATAGAAATAAATATACAGTAATACTGTATTATATATGTGTGAAGGCTTATAACAAAGTGGAATATAACAAAAAAAAATTAAAAAAAAGTTTTTTAAATCAATTTTTGAGCACGTTTAAAAGTTATTGATTGACATCTACTTACATAACTACTTTTCTGTTTAGATGATTAGTATTCAAGAACATTTTAATTGAACGGTTAATTAAAAATATTAATTAATTGTACTGTACTTATCATAATATTAATTAAATGTGAAAATTATAAATTAAATATAAAATATTCTTAAAACATACATATATATTTTTTATTTACAGTCAAATATTTTATATCTACGTTTAAATTGATCATTATAATTAATATAGGTAATACCAGGGTTAGTATGATATTTGTGTTGAAATATTTTGCAAAAATATATAAATAAGAGAATAAATGCATACATCAAATAAAGACATAACATCTTCAAGTAATCCAGTAGTAACAGGGACATTATTGTTAATTTTAAACACATTATAAAAACAATACTTTCCGTTGCGTTTGGTAATCAAAAATAACCAAAAAATTTAATTAAAATCACATACCAATTGAATTAACATTAGAATCAGGGTTGTATAATAATATAATTAGTTACAGTATAATTTAATGTCACTATCATTTCCCTGATCAGAATCACGAGGGACTCCGAATAGATATCATTAGAGTTTGAACTATTATATGGAGATTAATTGGCATCTAATTTTTCAATAAGTTTATTATCCAATTGATTGATTCTGGTCATTTATGCGAATTCTTGAAAGCTTTGGGAATATTCTTACAACAGATGGAGTTTATTAATAAAACTAAAAACAATGTTATTTATTTTTATTGAATTCAATTTTACGATAATTTAGTGTTACGTAAAATATTTTCGGTAATGTAAATTACTTTTAAAATTACGATAAATTAACCATGCAACTTTACTTTTAACAAAGAACCAACAAAAATCAATTTGAATTAACAATTTCCAATCATTTGGTGTATATTTTTAGTCAATTAATTGTTTTACTCAAGAATTTCCCTAAAAATGGGTCCAAAATACTGAATATACTCTTCGATGCCGTTTTGAATCTCGATTTGACTGACAAGTTGTAAATCAATCAAAGCGCTCATAAGGTTAGACATCTTGGACTTCCACTGCCATTCCCATCGAAACCTCAACATTAGGTATCGCTGAAGTAAATGAATGTACATTTGCTGCTGATATCTTAACACAAAAACAACACAATACTAATTAATTATAAACTTCTATTTTTTTGTCTCACTTAATGGCATCTCTGTTGACCAGATTTAAACGGTTTGGATTAAACAGTACGATAGCTGTCAGCTATTTATAATGAAAATCAGTATTAATAACTTTATTAATGATAATTGAATGGATTATATATAATACCAAATCGAGAATAACTGAATCCCAGTTCCATTTTTTGGATTAAACAGTACGATAGCTGTCAGCTATTTATAATGAAAATCAGTATTAATAACTTTATTAATGATAATTGAATGGATTATATATAATACCAAATCGAGAATAACTGAATCCCAGTTCCATTCGGGAAGTATTTTCCTGAAGTAAGACTTATAGGTATTGTAAAGATTTCTTTTCTCATTCCTCAGCAAATCTAATGGTATTACAAATGAGTTGCTGTTGTCCTACAAAATTAAGACACCATTTAAATACCAATAGATTACTAATATTACTAATAAATCATATTAGTTTAACAATTAGATAACCTTTTTTAAGGCATAACAGTAAAGTCACAATAAAAATTATATATTTATTAAATAAATTATGAGATGATTACCATAAATATAGTCCACTTTTCAGACTGACTGTCCCAGCAATAAATAGCCCTTATCGCTATGATCTCCATACAGCCCTGTTTAATCAAGGTTAGTTTATCATCCTCGCAAATGTCCACAAGCTTAGTCACGTCTTTGGTATATTTGACAATATCCTGTACGTCCACTTCTAGCCTATTTCCCCACATCTTATAGTAATGCATGATATCCTTGGCCTCAAAGTGGTGTTCAGTGGACGGGTATCTGAAGAGATTGGACGCCAGATACAGATCGGACAGTCGCTTGCATTCAATCTCATTCCAGTCGTTATAGGTATTAATAGGTCTCATGAGTGGTGTGAATAAATATAGCAAGAAATTCTGGTTCGCGTCCATAACCGAGTGATTCATTTGATTCGCAATGCACTGGTTTAGTGTCAGGATATCTTTTTGCACGTTTCTGTTTAGTTCAAACACTTTCTCGCATTTGAATTGCGAGTCAAATCGCATGGAGTCTCGGGAGTCACCACTACTGACCGACTCCTGTATCTTATTGTCATTACTGTCCCGTCGGTCGGCTTTCTTTCGCTTGTTTTCTTCGATTGTAATTCTTCTCAATTCCTTCTGCTCTTTGTTTTGTATGAATTCCTTATGAAATACAAAGTTTTAGACGATTATTGTGTAATATCTAAACAGTAATCAGTGTTACCTTTCTCATTCCAGCAGCAAGGCACTTTTCTAAGCGACACTTTTTGCACAGCTTTCGGGTTTTCACTTCAATCACACATTTGTCCTCTAAATAACAGACCTGATGTAAACAAATAGCTATTATTTAATTGCCATTTATTTGATTTTATTTCATTTTAATACCACATCTTTTACTGAGTTTCGTCTAAAGAAGGCTTTACACGACACGCAAGTAATTGCACCAAAATTTCTCCCTGATACAAAATTTAAATTTATTATTATTCTCTAGTCAATTATACATAATATTATACTAAAATTTGTATTAATTTTTACAATTGATTTCATACCGACAGCGTTATCGCCACATATTTCGCACCATTTATCTAACGTCTTGTTACTCATTATTATACAAATTATTATTTATTATTTTCAGCTTTTCATTTATTATTTATTTAATAAAATGTTTATATTTTTGTTTATAAGATATTCAGCACAAAATATAGTTATATAATATAATCATTTACTGGAAGCCATTTAATTGTAAATACGTTTACATTTATAGTAATTCAACTCTATTTATTAAGCATTTTTAATCAAACAAGAACAATTCCAGTACATTCATAATAAAACTGTAGATAATTTCACTGGTTGCCGTTGATCACATTAAATTTAGTGGTATAATATCTAGTATAATATAAACAAAATATTTTTCAAGGCAACATTAATACTAAAAGCATACACATGTATTATACTACCAGTAATGCATACCCTGAGCATAACTTTTATTAAAATCTAATATTTTATGTCTACGTTTGAATTGATCATTATAATGATTATATGCAATACCAGGGTTACTATGATATTTGTGTTTGTATTATACTACCAGTAATGCATACCCTGAGCATAACTTTTATTAAAATCTAATATTTTATGTCTACGTTTGAATTGATCATTATAATGATTATATGCAATACCAGGGTTACTATGATATTTGTGTTGAAATATTTCGACCACAATCTCCGCAAACAATACAAATAATATAAAAATGACAGAATAAATGCATACATAAAATAAAGGCATAACATCCTCAAGTAATCCAGTAGTATCAGGGGCATTATTATTAATTTTAAACACATTATAATAACAATGTTTTTCGTTGCCTTTCATCAACTTAACCTGGTCACCTATAGCCCGATGCCTCCACACGTCTATGATTCCCATACTTCTCGCAGTACTTATTCTGTAGTTATTATATAAGAATATTCTGTAGTATTTTAAAAATCATTTAAAAATTATCTCACATTTTGTTGATCTTATTGATAATGTTTGAGTCGAAATCCAATTTGAAAGCCATAGCCATGTCTGAAGGCACCGCGAAATTAGTCGATATGAATAAATTAAGTTTGGGATCCGTTTGGCAATAGTTGATAACATTGAGAAGTATTCCCATATACGCCGAGATATATACACGCTTTTTAGCACTAATCTCACCAATAAAAGCCTGACTCCTAGAATAAGTCGATCCAATTATACCCTGATTATTGTGGTCAACAATTCGCCTCCAGATCTCCCTTTCCATCGTATCGTTTTGGTTCTGAAAACAAATATTTATTTTGAAACGCATATCATAACTTATTTGTCATTATTTTCTAGTAATTATTAACGGATTACATTGAAATAGTAAGTAAAAGCGCTCCCTTTATTAACACTGGGAATAATGTCTACATTTTCGATGATATCTTCAAGCGAGTCGATCACATCCTCGGCCTGATTGGTGATCATATAAGCGCCGATCACTTTGTTGATGTCAATCCAGAACATAACCATCAGAATCGAGTATATGATTAACACGAATGTCTCCATCGATAGACTCAGGTATTTATCAATCGCTAATTAACATCACAAATAAATTACGAATTCATTGGCTGTTTATTGGACTCACGTTTATAGCAGAAAGCCTTCAAAACCATCCAAAATGCTCTGAAATAAGTGACTCTTAAGCCGAGGGACAGGACGAGCGCCACGGATAACGTGGATGTGATGAGTGCTAAATAGGTGGTGACGTCGAGGTTCTTGAAGTGGGCGAAGATGTCTTTGTAGTACCTCTGCTTCGAGGCGGCGCTCAATATGGCCGCGTCGTCGGTGTACAGGCCCTCCGAGTACCGCACGATTGACATCCGTTCGGCGTTGATGATCGACGGGCCCAATATCATGTCAGTCTCCTATTGAAGGGACAGGTATGTGTCAAAGCTAACTCATTTTAAACAACACTATTATTTAAAAGTTTTACATTATGCTAATTAAATGATTAAATATGATTAGAAATAATTACATTATTGACAATCATGCCATACATGCCCGTCCAGTTGCCGCTATCATATACACCCCATTGCTTGTCTTTGGGCGTAACTATTGAATAACTTTATAAAAAATTTATTTAAAAAGTTATAATAAAGTTATAATAAAATAAAAAATATATATTTTTTCAAACCTTATATTAATTTTGTTGAGAATATAGTGAAGAAAATCTCCGAACACTCCTTCGGCTCTAATATCTCTCGTATTCCTGTCTTCAGTTAATATAACCATTGGTTTAAACTGTTATAAAAATAAAGTTTTATTAATTTAAGAGGTTTTAGTAAATTATTTTACTATACATCAAGCGCCGCCACTTTTATGTGCATTATTTACAAGCGAATTTTGATAACATTTTAATTTAAATGTAAAAACTGTAAAAAATGATTGAATTTGATTATTATTTCATATTATACAATTATGTTAATAACAACACAAACCTACTAAATTGGTATATTAAAGCAATCTGATAAATTATACAGGACAGATTCTGTACCACAGAATATCTACAATAATACTGTAGTGATAAAACTCTTTAATTCTAAGGTATTTATAAATAACTATTGGTTTGTATGCATTAAAATTCTCCAAAAATAAAAGCTTGTTTCGCAACTATTGGCACATTAATTGTTGTTTATTTGTTAACAAATGTGTCAATTGTATGGAATATTCTGTCGTTTATTATAAAAAGTAAAATGCTTTTAAGACCTTTTTGTTGGATAATTTATTGATTTTAATGCAGTATATGTGTACAGTATAATTATTACATTATAGTATTGATTACAGTATAATACACTTTTTTGCGTACAGGTAATCTGATTATACTTGTAGAATTAAAACTAAATTACAATTATTTATGACATTATTTTTTATTCAAATGTTATGTGATATTAAAAAGAATTTCTTTAAGAAAGGGAGAGAAATATGAAATATAGGATTCATAACCATTTTGTAACTCGATGTCACGTATAATCTGTAAATCCATTAAAGGTTTCATAAGTTTTGAAAGTTTTGACTGCGATTCACATTCCGATCGATATCTCAGATACAGATAGCGTTGCAATAAATATACATATAATTGCTGTTCGGCTCTGAAAAATAGACATTTTTAAACATAAAACTTACTTTTATTGTAATTATTTAAACACTTACTTAACAACATCTCTGTGTATAAGATTAGGTCGATTTGGATTAAACAGTATTATTGCTGTTAACTATAAATTAATTTAAAAATATACTGTATTTAGTAAATTACTAATATAAAAATTATTCCTAAATAATATACAAATACCAGATCTATGACAATAAAATCTTGGGTCCATTCCGGTACGAGTTTATCAAGATAATTTCTATAAACTAAATACATGTTTCGCTTCTCCGATTTAAATAAATCCAAATTTATTACAAATGAATTGTTAGAGTCCTACACAAAAAATAATAAACTATTAAATTACTACAAATAATCTTAATTATAAACTATTGACCATAACTATAGGCCAATATCCAGTCTCATTATTAAATATGATGGAGTTCCTGAATATTGAAATCTCTAGGCTACTCGATGTCACGTATAATCTGTAAATCCATTAAAGGTTTCATAAGTTTTGAAAGTTTTGACTGCGATTCACATTCCGATCGATATCTCAGATACAGATAGCGTTGCAATAAATATACATATAATTGTTGTTCGGCTCTGAAAAACAGACATTTTTGAATATAAAACTTACTTTTATTGTAATTATTTAAACACTTACTTAACAACATCTCTGTGTATAAGATTAGGTCGATTCGGATTAAACAGTATTATTGCTGTTAACTATAAATTAATTTTAAAATATACTGTATCTAGTAAATTACTAATATAAAAATTATTTCTAAATATACAAATACCAGATCTATGACAATAAAATCTTGGGTCCATTCCGGTACGAGTTTATCAAGATAATTTCTATAAACTAAATACATGTTTCGCTTCTCCGATTTCAATAAATCCAAATTTATTACAAATGAATTATTAGAGTCCTGGTTTTTTATTATTTGATAATTTAATGATGTTTATTAGAATTAATATTTGATAACTGGTATTGATATCCGGTTATAGGTCAGAGTAATAATTTATACTACCTCAAGGACTTATAACTTTAGAGATCCGAGCTGTACTTGATAAGTGCCAACTGGTCATCAGGGCAAATCATTGTAAAAGTATTCAGATGCTTAGTGAATTTAATCAGATTTTTAACATCCTGACTTATTTTGACATCAAACACGCGGTAGGAGTCTATTATATTTGTTAAATAAACTTCAGTGCAGTTTGATGTCAACGACTTAGTTATATAACTGAATATATTGGACGCGCTAAACAACTCCGACAATCGTCTCGACTCTAAATCGTTAAAACTTTGATAGTTTATGATTTGTTTAAAAACTGGTTGAATATGTAAGTGAGTATTATGGCCATGTACTTCATCCTGATCTTTATTTTCATATGAATTATGGCAATTATCGGTAGAATAGTTTCCAATCTTCATCATATCTTTCAGTAATGTTTCGTTAATATTATCATTGCTTTCAATGATTTTATTCAGTAAATCGCATTCAAAACTTTCACCGCTAATAGTTTCACTTGTTGATTTAATTGTTAATCTATTAATTTTATTGTTTCCTATTTTTGTCTTTTTATACCGATATTCTGGATTCAGTAATATTTTACATTTTTCATATTCTTTGCTTCGTATCAATTCCTATAGAAATAGCATAACATTATTAGTAGTCTAATATTAATTATGATACTGTATTCACTTTTAAAATACAATATTTTCTTACACATTTCATGCCCATTTGAAAACATTTATTCAATCGACAACTTTTGCAGCATTTTCTTGTTTCCGTATTTATTACACATTTGTCGGATTCATAACATTTGAAATACTAGTTTAAAACAATTAAAATAATACAGTAATCAAAATTGTATATTTTGATACCTTATGAAGTAATGCATTCCATGCCTTTTTATGAAATGTGCTGAGCGTTCACTTACGGGGCATCAAAGCTGGAATTTTATATAACATAAAATACGTTTTATAATAGTTATTAAATAATATGTATAAAGTGACTTTTACACATGTTTAATATTTTACCAATAACATTTTCACCGCATATTTCACAGTCAATGTGATTTATTTTTTGGGACATTTTTCAAAAATGTGTATTATTGAAAATTAAAACATAAAATAATATAATACTACAATACAGTAGAAATGTATTTGCCACACGAATTCAAAGTTTGAATTTCAAACACTAATTTTAATTGATTATAGATTGTATATTTTATAAACATATTACATTTTATAATTTTGTTTACAGTTTCATAACGAATTAAATGTCGATAATAAGATAGTAAGTAGTGTCTCAATATGAATTTCTTAGTACGAAATATGATATAAAACATGAACCTTTTATGATTATCAAAACATTATAAAGTTATCAAAGTCTAAAATATAATAGTAGCGACTATTTATTTGTTTATAAATTTATGAATCAATCGTATATTTGACTGAAAGGATACGTGTTTTTGTGTATAGCGTTTGTAATTTGCTTTTCCTTTGAAATGATGGCCAAAGCGATCACAAAGAAGCGTAAGTTTGTGTCGGACGGCGTCTTCAAAGCGGAATTGGATGAGTTTCTGCGCCGGGAGTTGGCTGAGGACGGGTACAGTGGTGTAGAGGTCCGCATGAGTGCCACGAGGACTGAGATCATAATACTGGCCACAAGGACGCAGTCCGTGTTGGGCGAGAAGGGCCGCCGCATCCGTGAGCTCACGAGTGTCGTCCAGAAGAGGTTTAACTTCGAGGAGGGGGCCGTTGAGGTGAGCACTCAGCTCACACTACCTGTGCCCTTCATGTGTGACCTTCGGTTTGATATGTTGTTTGTATGGATCAGATGTACGCCGAGAAGGTGGCGGACAGAGGTCTGTGTGCTATCGCACAGTGCGAGTCACTCCGGTATAAACTAATTGGAGGTCTGGCCGTCCGGCGCGCCTGTTATGGTGTCCTCCGATTCATTATGGAGTCGCAGGCCGTGGGCTGCGAAGTCGTGGTTAGCGGGAAGTTGAGGGGACAGAGGGCTAAGAGCATGAAGTTTGTGGACGGGCTGATGATCCACTCGGGACAGCCCACCAACGACTACGTGGACACCGCTGTCAGGCACGTACTCCTCAAACAGGGAGTGCT